TCAGCTTTCTAAAACCTGGCATATTGACTGGACGTGGCAAAACAAGTCAGAACACAGGTGTTTATAGATAACGAATTAGATTTAGTATGCTATATGTATATATATAAAAGAACGTATATGATATATTTGAATTCTTTCTTAATGCTTATATCAGTCAGGGTTCAACAGAAGAAAAACTAGTAGGGATTATACATACATGTATACATACATATATATGTGTATGTGTGTGCATATATGTATAGTACACATATACATATGTGTGCGTGTGTATATATAGTTTAGGTATGTGTATACACACACGCAGACATACACACCAACAGAAGAAAAACTAGTAGGGATTATACATACATGTATACATACATATATATGTGTATGTGTGTGCATATATGTATAGTACACATATACATATGTGTGCGTGTGTATATATAGTTTAGATATGTGTATACACACACGCAGACATACACACACACACACACACAGGGATTTGTTACAAGGAATCGGCATACACGATTGGACTGGCAAAGCAGGTCTGAAGTGCACAGGGCAGGTGCAGGAGCACGTGGAACCCCACAGGCATGAGCTGTCTGGAGTCTCTGAGCTCAGGGAACACCTAAGCCCTCCTTTAAAGGGCTGACTTCATTAGGTCAGGCCTATCTAGGGTGAAATCTCTTTTGGTTAACAATATCAACCGATTATGAACACTAATTGTACCTGCAGACTCCCTTCAGAGAAGCCCCTAGGTGCATATTTGGGGACTGTGGCTCAGCCTGGCCAAGGTGATGCATCAGAAAGCCCTCACGGTGCTCAAATGCCGAAAACCTGTAGACAGTGCCTCCTCCCATATGTCTCACAGGTGAAACCAGAGTTAGTTCTTGAAATGTTGTTTGAGCATGTTACTTTCCTGAACAAGTTCTCAATCAGTAGATTAATTCGAAATAGAAATGTTCCTTTTCTGTGTTTGCATTGTTTAAACTGTAGATGCTTTTGTGCATATTATATATTTTACAACTTAAAAAAAATGTCCAATGCTGAAATCTAGGTAGGGAGTGGTTAAAGGATGAAAGGCCACCTCTGTTGTCTTCCAGGAGGATCCTAGGTGGCTGGTCCTGACCTGTGCTCCTCCCACCTCAGTGACCGGCCGTGACAGGTCCTCACTGTTCCTTATTTAGTGTTGTTTATAGTAAGAAGTCCCCTTGCTGTCAGTCCTCAGTCATCATCTTTGCACTTCCCCCTTATGCAAATTTTAAACTTTGAATCTAAAAAGTAAAGTCATGTTTTGAAAATTTGGCCTACCAAGTGAAGTCCAACACCACATTATTGTGGTTGGAATTCAAAGTTCTCTGCCGTCTGACTCCAGCATGAGTCCAATTTGATTTTTGAACTTTGTTATTCATCTACAAGTAGGAACCCAGTAAATATTTTCTTATTTGTTTGTTCATCCATCTATGCATCCGTCCATCCACATCCATTGAGAACTTATAGATAAAAATGAACCTTTTAACCATTCTATCCTTATCAGACAGACCATAATTGCTGAATGAATATTTGGTGAACAAATGGATAAGTTCAGAAATAAAGTATGGTGTCTGTCTTGGGTATGTTCATTGTTATGTAGAAGATGATGGTGAAAAGAAATTGTTCTGTCCTCAACAAAATATATCTGTAAATTTCGGCTGCCAGTATACTAGGAAAAAATTGGAGCTTTTATAAATTCTGTTGACTCTGGGGTAGAGACCACTGGAAACCTTTCTCTTCTCAGCATATCAGTGGCTGAGACCTGCACCCTAGTGGGATCCTAACTGAAATTCAAGGCCCAGTTCTGCTACTCGCTAACCTATTAGCTTATCATACCTCCAAAACCTCAAGGTCTGCACCATCAGGGCCAGGGTTCCAAGGAAGGTAGAGGGGAGAGAGGAGAGTTGTTGCCCCTGAGGGGACTGGAAGTGCAACGCAAAAGTGGAAGTGGGTCATGGAAATCTGTCATAATGGGGAATCATAACACTTGCCATATCAATAAAGAAGTTGAGATATATAAATATAAATATAAATAAATATATATAATGGAATACTACCCAGCCATAAAAAAGAATAAAATAATGCTATTTGCAGCAAGATGGATGGACCTGGAGATTGTCATTCTAAGTGAAGTAAGCCAGAAAGAGAAAGAAAAATACCATATGATATCACTTACATGTGGAGTCTAAAAAAAAAGCCCACAAATGAACTTATTTATAAAACAGAAACAGACTCATAGACATAGAAAACAAACTTGTAGGGGGAAAAAGGGAAGAGGGATAAATTGGGAGTTTGGGGTTTGCAGATACTAACTACTATATATAAAACAGATGAACAACAAGATCCTACTGTACAGCACAGGGAACTATATTTAGTACATTGTAATAGCCTATAATAAAAGAGAATATGAAAAGACACAAATATATATGTATATATAAAAATTGGAATCACTATGCTGTACAGCAGAAATTAACATAACATTGTAAACTGACTATACTTCAATAAAAACAAACAAGTAAATAAATAAAACACTTGCCACATCATCCTGAAAGGGTCTTGTGAAGTTCCAGGGAGTCGGTAGATGTGAAAATGTCTTGTCAGCTGAAAACTCCTATACACGTGCAAAGGTGTGACAATTAACTCTTGATAGTTGTGCAAAAAAATCAACATTTGTTTTGCAATAATATGACTGAAGCCACATAGCTTGTAAGTACCACAGCTGGGATCTGAGCTGAGGTTGTGCCAGAGTCCGAGTTGTTAGACCCTCCCTCAAATGTCCTCTCTAAAACCGTGACAGGGATCGGCCCTACTGCCCAGGGTTGCTGTGAGACCATGAATACAAAGCGCTTACCCCAGTTCCTGACATCCCAATGCCTGCATGTCATAATTCATAGCTGTTCTTTTGAAGGGTAAAGTTCCTTCTTTGGTGAGTTATACAGTACCCTCTGCCTCTGACACAGGAATGACCCTCCTAGCGCAGAAGTGTGTATTGGATACATTCAGAACCAACGGAGATAACAAAATTCTGATCGCCACCTCGGTTGCTGATGAAGGCATCGACATTGCTCAGTGCAATCTGGTCATCCTGTATGAGTATGTGGGCAACGTCATCAAAATGATCCAAACCAGAGGTAAGAGAAACTTTGGGGCCATTACTGGAGGGCTGTCGTCTTCTGCTTTGTGAGCGTGTCTGTCATTCCAGCCTTTCTCCTTTACTGTCACCATGGCACAGTGGACCCCCATATCATTGGCCCTAGAGCTGGCTTACCTGGTCAGGATGGGGTGACTGCAGTTTCATCCACTAACATATACCCTAGTTTGGTTCTTGTTCACAATGATTACTGTTTACTTGACCAACATTGGCTGACATATTTATGAAAGGACAATTCCAAGTCTGATTGAGGCTTCAGCAGTCAACATGGGGACCTTTCGCAGCTGTGCTTATGGTGCTGGTGGCCCCCGCTACTCCAGAAGAGGTGCTCCAGGGAGTCCTGTCCCACTTGAACTAGATGATCTCCTGACTGGTCCCTCTTCCTTTTTCTAGTTTCCACAACAACAGCTGCCGCATTACTTTTCTTGAAAACCAGCTCTGAGCATGTCACCTCCCTGGATAGAAACTCTAGCATTTCCCCAACTTGCTTGCTGTTGAAGAGTTTTTCACAATCCAGCGCCCATGTATCTGTCCAGCCTCATTCGCCATTATTCCCCTTTATCCATGAGCCCCTGAATCCAGCCAATATGACTTCATTTTTCCCTCGTTGAACGAATTGCCCACGTACTGTTGCTGCTGATCATTGTTCTACCTCTTCTGCTGCCTCCCCGTTACCTGTCCCTGATTCTCCCAGCTGGCAGTAATCTCTCTTTTGACTGCCCATAACCCTTTATATCTGTCTTTCTCAGAGCACTAGTTTTCCACCTGTGTTCTGGTGGTTGTGGACATGTTATTTCCTTGTTTCCTAGAAGGCTCTTGAGGGAGGATCTGTTTATTATTCATCTTAGGGCCCTCACCGTATCACCCTGATGGTTCATGTTGGATTGTCTTTAAGCAGTATTTCTAATAACATGCCTATTCGGTCACAGTGCACCACGAAGACCCTGAGGAAGCCCATCAAAGGTGGGCTTCTTGTTTATCCACATGTACACACCTGCATTTCACTCCACACCCCACCAGCTCGGCTTGTCTAGAAAGTGGGATTCAGTGAACCAGTGTTGAATTTTAGGAATACCCGTATCCCTTTGTGTACATATTCTCAGATTTAGTAGAATTTTAAGTCAAAGACACCAAATAAACTATTTTTTTCTAACAGGCAGAGGAAGAGCAAGAGGGAGCAAGTGCTTCCTTCTGACCAGTAATGATGATGTAATTGAAAAAGAAAAAATAAACATATACAAAGAAAAAATGATGAATGACTCCATTGTAAATGTGCAGACATGGGATGAAGCAGCATTTAAAGAAAAGGTGAGTCTTTGCATCTATGTTAACATTTCAGACTCTGACTACAAGTGACAAACAGGGAGTGTGTGCATGGCTAGCACTAGTATCATATTGCTCTGAGTGTTTTAGAACCGTAAGTTTATCCTTAAAATTTCATCCCGCAGTGAACATCAGATTCATTCTGCTTTAAGTCTCAGTGAGTTAAAATATGTTTTATTAGTGCTAATACCTGAAGTCATGTTTTAGATCTACAAGGCAAACTGAGCTTGAATTACTCTTAAGTTGACAGTGTTTTTTGAGGACTACACCCTAACACTGCAAGACACAGTTCTTGTTAGTCTTTTCCTCAAATCTCTGTCTCTCTAATATCCGGAGTCCCCAGGGAAAAGCTCCCAGTGCACTGTGTGTGGGAGGTGTGCCCAGTGTTAGAAGACCTGTTTGTAGGTCTGGATAGCAGTGTGAACTTTGGAGGGGCACCATATTCATCCAGCCTCTTGGTAGTGACCTTAGTTTGATTGTAATTTTCTTTATAACACATGGGGAATGACACACCCACACATACACACAGACACCCTCTATTTCTCAGACCATTTGCAGAGACTGCATGTCAGAACCTCTGCGAGCACTGAACCCTGCAGGCCTGGGGGAGAGCTTTACCATTAGAATCAGTGATTCCAGTCCCAGAACTGCCACTTACAAAATGTGTGTCTTCAGGTAGTTCCTCTTTGAAATCATCAGTCTCCATATTCACAAATTTGGGAAAATAACAGTATTTAACTCACAGGGCAGTTTGGGGCATAAAGTGAGATGTATGCACGGCTTACTATGGTGCCTGATGTAAAGTAAGTGCTCAGAAATGGGAGTTGTTATCGCACAGATGTGTGAGGCATACCTTAACTTCTTGAAGATGTCTTACAGTTCACTAGACTAATTCCATAATGGTCATAATTTTTAAAAGTCATAATTTTTATGCTCAAAAAGTAATGAGAAGCAATTAATGAGCTAAAGTAAACTAACACTTATTTTAAGAAAAATTATAATATTTAATCAGTGTTGACTGATTTAAAAAAAATTTCTTCTTAAGGTTAGAAGACCAAGATATGTAAAAATACTTCTTCCACATTTTCAGGGAGAAGAATTGCAGGGAAATTCTTTAGTTCCTCTTAGTTTTTCTGAGGATAGAGTTTTTTCACTTAGCCACTTCCCCATTTTGTAGAATATGCGGAAGTTGCCAGTAAAGGCTTTAAAATCATGTTAGCTTTGCAATTATTTTTAACCCCTCCACTGGGTGACAAGTTGCTTAGACTCATGTGGCAAAAGCAATAGAGTAAAAGTCTATTGAGGAATATGGAGGCTGGAGCAGACACAGAGACATTCACTGTAGCCAGCACACTAGGTCAAAGAGTTGGGTGAGGAAATAGGGGGAGGGTATAGCTCAGTGGTAGAGTGTGTGCCTAGCAAATGTGAGGTCTTGGGTTCAATCCCCAGCACCTCCATTAAAAATAAATAAATAAACCGAATTACCTCCCTGCCTCCAAAAGAAGAAAAAAAAAGTGGGGTGAGGAGACAGTGGCTTAAATATCTGTTGAATTAGGCTACTTAATAGCCTTTTGAAGGGAGAAGGGGTGGGAAGGGATAAATTTGAGAGTCTGAGATTTGCAAGTGTTAGCCACTGTATATCTATTTTTATAATAGTTTAAAAAAACCAGGTTTCTTCTGTATAGCACAGGGAACTATGTTCAATATCTTGTAATAACCTTTAATGAAAAAGAATATGTCTGTATATGCATGACTGGGACATTGTGCTGTACACCAGAAATTGACACACTGTAACTGACTGTACTTCAATCAAAAAAAAAAAAAATCGCATTTGGGATTTCCCTGACGCCCATTGATCGAGAACAGGCAGAAGTGGTAAAGGATGAGCAGTGGCCCAGAACAAGTGTGGCCAGGGGTCGCTGGTCGCTGGTAGCTGCGTTATCCCTTGTGTGTGTGTGGCTGCCCCTCACCAGACCGCTGCAGCCATCTGAGCAGGTAGACAGCCACCACGTATCCAAGAACTTATTTCCGTGTGGGAAGCTTCAGGATTTGGTAGTACTTCATCCTGGAGGAAAAAGGTATAATGGGTATTTTTCACTGCTGCAGTTATGAAGGGTCATTTGGAATCAAAATGAGGAACCCTACTCTCCTTTCTTATGAGTTGAGAATAGGATATGGGGTGAAAGAAAGTTCATTTTGACGGAAGAACTTCCGACATGATGGGTACCCATGACTGCACACAATCAGGGTTTCCTAGCCTCGCTTTTTCCACTTCCAGTGTGTGCAGTTAGGCTGCTTCTCATCCGCAGGTGTGGGAAGGGGAAGCAATGGCTGCAGACTTCAGTTGTGACCTGGGTTGAGCCTCTTCATCCAGTTACTGAGTTTTACTTAGGGTTAAGTGTAGCAGTAAGAGTTAGTTTTAATTCGTTAGGATTTATATGTCTTGCCTTTAGCAACATTTAAAATATTTGCGATTACTAGTATTTAATTGAATTTCAGTATATAATTGAATATCATTAGACAGAAGTGAATTTTTAAAAATTGGATGCCCAAAGGGCAAATTTATATTTTTACCCTTTTTCCTATCACATTCCTCCTACCCTGAGTCTACCTTATGTAGTGATCAGAACCATGTCTAAGAAAAAGAAATTAAAACTGCTCATAGAGAAATGTATGTTGTGTAACCCAGGAATTTCATTTCTAGAAATTTGTCCAAAAGAAACATTGGGATAAGTACACATCATGTAACAGTTTTACAGCAGTGAAAAATTGAATTGAAAATAAGAGGCATAAACATCCTTTATTTTTACAAAAAACAAGAAAGATAACTTCCAGTGGGATGGGGTGGGGAGTAGGGGGAGAGAAACAATTTTGATTGTTTTCCTAACCTATATTCCAGGCCTACATTTTAAAAATATAAATCAGATTTTATTTGAATTTAAAATGCTTTAGAGATGAGTGGATTCTCTATAGACGATCAGTAACCCATAGGAGATAGAAGGGGGAGGGACACTTCCATTTACGGCGACAACCATGACTGCAGCTCCTGCGGGTAGAACAGGGACTCTCCACCGAGCCCTGCAAGTGCTTTATTTACGTCGACAGGCCTCACTGTGGTCCATGTGGTAAAGCTTCTTATGGCACGCTTTGGGGGGAAACTGAGGCATGAAAATCTTCAGTGCTAGTTAGGGGTGGAGCTGGCACAGCTCATCTGTTTAACTACTACTTCTACTGGCCTCGCCAGAAATGTCTAGAGTATAAATAAAGACAACTAAAAAGATGTTACTGAGAGGTAGGAGGTAAATTAAGACTGAAGAAAAGAAATGCCGTGTTCCTAATTGGAATGACTGACTATTTTAAAGATGTGCATTCACCCCAAATTCACTTATAGGTGTATCACATCCCATAATCAAAGTATACATATTTTTAACTTGATAAAATGGTCACATAGTTTATATAGAAGAATAAATGAATGAAAATAGCTCTGTCATTTCTAAAATAACTCATGAATGGGTATCGCCCTACCCAATGCTTAAGTTCAAATCCCTATCATTTAACATCTTCATGGTTCTTAGCAGAAGACTCACCTCACCGTCCGAGGTTAACACCAGGGGGCATTAAACCTCTGCCAGGCAGTCCTGGGCAATTATGAACTCATGATACGTCCCAGCAGCCCACAGAGTAACTGCTTTATTGTTCCCGTTTTGTATATGAGGAAGCTGAGGCGTTTGCCCCAAATCACACAGCTAGTAAGTAAGTAGCAGGAACAGGATTCGCCCCGAGGCTGTCTGGTTTCACCTGGGACACTGCTTGAAAATGTAGGCTGATGCGATAGAGGCAGCAACACAAAGCAGTGGGACAGAGCAGATCCTGCCACAGCTGACGCTGTGGGAATCACCGTGTCTTGCCTTCCTCCATGATGTTTCATGTTTTCTTCTTTTATCATGCCCTTCTGTTTAGAGGACTTCCTTTTGCTCTTCTCTTAGGAAAGGTCTGCTGGTGAACAAATTCTTTTAGTTTCTCTTCATCTGAGAATGTCTTGGTTTCCCCTTTATTTTCAATGGATATATTGCTGGGCATAGGAGTCTGGGTTGACAGGTTTTTCTTTCAGCATTTGAAAAATATTGTGTCACTTTCTTCTGGTCTCCATGGTCTCTGTGGTCTCTGATGAGAAATCTGGTGTCATTCAGTTGGTTTTTCCCCTATAGTAAGGTGTCTTTTTTTTTTTTTTCTTCCTGGATGCTTTTAAGATTTTTTTTCCTATGTCTTTAGTTTTCAGAAGTTTAATTATAATGTATCTTGATGTGGTTTCTTTGCGTTTATCCTATTTGGATTTGTCCAGCATCTTGTATCTGTATGTTTATTTACATTGTGTTAAATTTGGCACGTGTTCAGCCATTATTTCTTTGAGTCCTTTTTAAGCTCTGCTCTTTCCCCTCTCCTTCCAGGACCCCAGTGTCTTAAATGTTAGATCTTTTAAAACGGTCCTAAAAGTCCCTGAGTCTCTGTTTGTTTGTTTGTTTGTTTAGGTCTGTGTTCTTCCTGCTGTTTAGACTGGGTCATTTCTAGTCCATCTTCTAGCTCACTGATTCTTTCCTTTGACCTCTCCACTCTGCGGCTGAGCCCATCCACTAAGCTTTTTATTTCAGTTATTACATCTTTTAGTTCTGACATTTCCATTTGGCTCTTCTTTATATCTTCCATTTCTTTGTTGAGCCTTTATATTTGTTCATGTTTCAAGAGTGTTGGGGATTACTCACTGAAGCATTTTTATTGTAGGTAGTTTAAAATCTTTGTCAGATAATTCTGATGTCTCTGTCATCTCACTGTTGGCATCCATTTGGTTGTCTTTTTTTAAATTCAGTTTGAGATCTTTCTGGTTTTTGGTGTGAAGAGTGATTTTTTTTAATCAAAACTCAGACATTTTCATATTATATGATGAGATTTGGTTTCTTATTTGACCTGTGTTAGGTGGCTTTTTCTGATATCATTCTGGCAGGGGAGGTGGGGACACTGTTTCTTCACTGCCGGGTGGAGGTAGAAATCTAGGTTTCCCATTCAGCCACAGTTGATACCAGCAAGGGTTTACTGCTGGGTGGGGATGGGAGTTCTGGCCTCTACATGGTCTGCACTGACACCACAGGTGAGGAGGGCTACCATTTGGCAGGACTGAAAATCTTGGCTCCCTACTTAGCCTTCCCTGACACCACCAGGTGGGGGTGTTGAAGTGATTTCAAACAGCCCTGCAAAGTGGGAATCTAGGTTCCCCAGATCAGCCCCAGATTTTTTGGGGTTCTTTTTTTTTCCCCCTGTGGTGTTTGGCAGGAGTAGACCAGCTGTTTCCTAAAAGTTCTCTGTCTTGCTGGCTACCCCTGTCCTGGCCCTTTGGATAGAGAGAGAGGCTTTTGTTGAGACTTTTTTGTCTGTGCCCACAGGCATTGCTGGTTGCCAGCTTCTTCAGCTACATGTCTGGGATATATGAGGCCAAAAGGAAACCCAGGGGACTCACTACCATGTGGTTTCTTGGGTCCCAAGTTTCCTTGCTGGTCTGCATTCCTCTCTTCACCCTTCAGAATCTTCTTTGTTTATTTTATATACAATGTCCAGGATTCTCAGCTGTACTTAGCCAAGGCCTAAATTTTGAGATGGAATGCAGCCATCCTATACAGTCATTTAACCACACTTTCTGTGGTTGGAAGGGAAGAGAGAAAAAAGATTTTAGATGGTGAGGGGCTCCTTTGCCTGCTGTTCCATTCAATGGGTTTATGTAATTTTTACTGAAACAGTCAGTGCATATCATATGTCTATTTGTGAAGGATTTTTAAAGTTTTACCAGCTACGGGGCAGAAGGTGTGGTTCACATGACTGTTTTATGGATATCTTTTGTGCTTTTCCGGGCATGTTTGATGAAGAAATTGAAAGACTGACTGGAGGCCACAGTTAAACACTGACTATCAAAGAGTTAGGAGAATCAATAAAATTATCTGTGGGATGTTTATAAACAAAGCTAGGTACTGTATGTTGATGGAAGTTGTATAGAAATGAGCGATTACATACATACATATGTGTGTGTGTTTATACTAGTTATACTCAAATTACATATTTGAGAGTTTTTTGTTTTGTTTTGTTTTGCATCTAGATTCACCAGATACAGATTCATGAAAAGTTCATCAGGGATAATCAAGGAAAAGCAATGCCTGTGCCTGATAAGAAAAATAAAAAACTGCTCTGCAGAAAATGCAAAGCCTTTGCATGTTATACAGCTGATATAAGAGTGGTGGAGGTAAGTATCCTTTTTAACAAAGAGCACTGGGTCATTTTTTTAGCACTAATTAAAGCTCACTATCTATCAGTGAGATATTTATAGTATATTTAGAGTAATAGAATTCTGTTATTTCCGTTGTTGTCATGGCCATGGTCCATGCATTTTTAAAAGGCTAAAAATTTTAAAAGAAATCCTTAATGTTCAACAATTTTAAAAAATGGTTTAAAAATTGCTGTGCCGCTACTTAATTAAGGATTATGTAGCCGTTACAGATAATGGTTATGCTAAATGCAACGCGGTATCCTGGATTCGATCCTAGAACAGATAAAGGATATTATTAGAAAGAGTGGCAAAATCTGTAGTTGAGTTACTAGTAATGTGCCGATATTAATTTTTTAGTTTTGGCAAATGTGCTATCTCTGTAAGATGTTCACATTCAAGGAAGCTGAACCCGGGTGAAGGGTATACAGGAATTCTCTGGACTATCTTTGCAACTTACCTGTAAATGTAAACATGACTCCAAAATAAGGTTTACTAAACAAAATGATTAGGAAGCTTCTGTAGTATAATGAAAAACTTCTTACAAGCTAATAGTAAAGTAGGAAAAAATAACCAGGATACAAAACAGTAAATGTGCTATGATTATAGCAGTGTGAAATCATAGAAGCAACGCCACTGTCACCACCACCAGCAAAAACACTTACCTTTGTACAAAAAAAGGCTACAGGAAATGTACTAGAATGTGTTAATATTTTACAATGAGACTCCATGATTTTTTTCTCTCTCTTTACTATTTTATGTTTTCTAAACTTTCTTTTGGGGAACAGGGGTCACTTTTACAATAGAAGCAAAATCTCCTTATTTTAAAAGCATGACATCTGCAGGTCTGCTTTCCCTCTGTTTTTTTTTTTTTTTTCTTAACACTTTCAGATAAAGGGTTCGAAAAATCTCCAAAGACAAAAAATTGGATGTAACTCGGTTGCTGCTGATTGGGGAGGGTGGGGTGCCTGGGCCTGTCCAGATGATGAGTTATGACTTTAGGCTTCTGTTTGGTCTTCAGAAGTCTCTCATCAGTCCGATGTTTGAGCAAGAAGCATATTAGGGGTGAGACTGGCAAGTTCCCATACCTTTCTGAGTCTTTTTCTTTAGCTGCAAAGTATCCGTTCAGCTCCAATTTGGGTGATTTTCTATTGAAATGACCCTTTTCAATTATGCTTTCCTGAGGGACTGGTATGTAGGATTTGCATTGGTTCTGTGCATTGTGACCTTTTTTCAGGTTTATTCTAACACTGACCGTGGGCGGGGCCAGTGGACACATTAGCCCCCGACCCTCTTCAGATACACACTGACCCCTTGCTGTTCTTCTCTGTATCCTTTCGATTATTCCTGTCAGGGCCACTGGTGAGCTCAGGCTTCACAGAGCTTCGACAAATATCCCTTTGTCTCTGAATTAATAGAGCGTATCTATTTTCAGGAGCCAGGCCTCCTGGAAACTTCTTAGTCTTCCTCTTCATGAGGTGGACTTAGTCCCCCATCACCTGACTTGCACCTCCACCCGTGACACTGGGAGGCAGGCTGCATGAGTCCGGTCTGCCCTTGGGGTGAATCTGCGTTTCCTGCTTGCTCTGTCTGTAAAATAAGTGGAATCCCACCTTCTTGTCATCTCAGATGACTGTGGAGTTTTCTCTGTTTTTTTTTTTTTAATCACAGTTATGTTCTGGTCCTAACTTTCTGTTTTGTATGCCATTCGATCCCTTCTTTTGTAGGCATGCCATTTCACCGTGATTGGAGATGCTTTCAGGGAGCGCTTTGTGAGTAAGTTACACCCCAGACCGAAGAACTATGGGAGTTTTGAGAAGAAAGCAAAAATATTCTGTGCCAGGCCGAACTGTAGCCATGACTGGGGAATCCACGTGAGGTATAGGGCATTTGAGATTCCAGTTATAAAAATTGAAAGTTTTGTGGTGGAGGATGTTGAAACAGGAGTTCAGACACTCTATGCAAGGTGGAGGGACTTTCATTTTGAGAAGATACCGTTTGATGCTGCAGAAATGTCCAGATGTGCTCAGGACCTCAGTCTTCAGGGAATGGGTGATCTGGAGTAAAGAAGAAACTAGACCCAGCAGGTAAATCATGGCTCACCTGGACCACTGTCAAGATCTCTTGCCTAAAGGCTTGTTCCGTCCTGAGTGTCTATCACGTACGTAACTGCTGTTGTTTTCAGCAGTTTGCACGCTATCATTATGTAAAGCATGGGTCAATGGATCACAACACTAAATGCTCTGTAGGCCAGCAGCGCTCCCAGCACTTGGGAAAAACAAAAAAGCCTTAACGTGTTTCTCTCCTTCCCTTCCCTTCCCTGCCAGCGTACACCCATGACCACTCAGCACACACTAGAATACATGGATGAGGGCATGGAATGTTGGAAGGTTTTCCTTGCTTCCCTTTCTTTCGAGTCCAAAGCCTTAACCACTCGGCCATCACAGCATTGCTTCCCTTTCTTTCCTTCATCTACTGTGAGCTGGCTCTTGCCCATAACAATCTACTGAAATTGTTCTTGTCGAGGTCACCAGTGGCTCTGGTTGCTAAATCCAGCGGGTACTTAGTCCTTCGCCGACCTCTGTGCTCCTTTTGGCCCTGTTGAGTACTCCTTTCTTGGGACTCCCTCTCGGCCTGTATCTTCTAGCTGTATCCCAGTCTTTTCTGTTGGCTCCTCCTTGCTGATCCCTTACATGTTGGTAATTCCAGAGGTTCAACGTAGGTACACATACATAGGCATCGTAGTCACATATACGCATGTTCTCCAGGTAGTAACGTGTGGCGTCTAATCTCAGAATTCTATAGTGGACAACGTTTAGTACTGTAAGCACGTAAATGATACAGCACTCCTTAAAGCTGACTTCTCTTCTTTTAGTTTATTGTACCTCTTGCTGGAGTAATTCGTTTTCTTAACCTGTGCGGCTGTTCCATTTGAATGGTCATCCCCAGACACTTTCCAGTAATAGTTGATCATGTGGCCTTAACATTTGGTCCGCATCTGGACTCTGCTCTCAGGGAGGTCTCTTGGTTGGTATGATGAGGCAGTTTAATTTGGCTGTCCTTTCTATTTAAAAAATTAGAATATGTATCCAAATGGCATTCCTGTGTCATTTAACAAGGTTTGCTGACACCACAGAGCTTCCTTTGGGGTTTCCCAGACTTAGAGACAACTACTTGAGTTTTGCTGTCTCCATCCAGACTGGGGTGTCTTATGTCCAGTTCAGGGTCGGCACTATAGTAATTTAAGCATCTTCCCCAAACAGATTCAGATGAGCTGTTTGTGATTCACTAGGACCGTCTATGGCTTAAACAAACCTCCAAATGTCATTAAGATGTTAATATGCGCAGCATATGTGATCGCATGACTCTTTTAAAATAGCACTTATTTACATCTGAAGGCTGTTTGGTGTCCAAGAGACCACCCAGTCCACCCAGACCAATCCTAGAGCTCAGTGGGGTGACACTACAGCCACCTCATTCTCCTCTCCATCTGATGAGCGGGTGTGCACGCTGAGAATCGGAGAACCTGCCAGTTACATAACTTCTCATTGACTTAGTTTTCTTTATCTGTAAAAAAGGATAATACATACCTGTAACTTAGTTTTCTTTACCTGTAAAACAAGGATAATACATACCTGTAAGGGTTAGTGGAGAATTTTTAACTGACATTACATAGAAGTACTTGATATATATTGGTTACTTGATAATGGTTACTAGTGGGAGTATTCTTAAGTAAGACAATAAAAATGGATTATGTAAGCCAACTTGCTTGCTGATTTTTATTCATTTTCAATTTATATTTTATTAGCATATTAAGGTTTTAGTCAGCAACTTTAATGTTGGCTTTTTATCCTGCCACCAAGGAATTTATCAACTGCATGTCCTACAGTTCAACTCAGTTCTGCCACTGTCTGCCTGGAGATGGCGTCAGATCCCTACATGTTAAGGGCTCCGTCCTACGAGACTGCCCCACCCCTTCCCTGCTTGAGATGTCAAATTGTTATTACCTGTGCTTCTGAGCAATTGACTGCAAATGGGAGGTTCCAACAGCTTCCTCCTTGGGCTTTTAGAGAGGCTCACAGAACTCAGAGAAACATTTTACTTACTAGATCGCCTGTTTATTATGAAAGGATATAACTCAGGAGCAGCCAGATGGAAGAGATGCACAGGGTAAGTTATGGGGAAAGGGCTCAGAGTTTCTGTCTTTAAATCTCTTTGAGTTCACCAGCCTGGAAGCTCTTTGAAACTTGTCCTTTGAGTTTTATTGGAGGCATCATTATGTAAGCATGATTGATTAAGCCATTGACAGTTGGCTCAACCTCCAGCTCCTTTCCCCTCCCCAGAGGTCAGGGGGTGGGACTGAAAGTGCTAACCCTCTGGTCACGTGGTTGATTCTCCTGGTAACCAGCCCCCATCCCTAGGCGCGGTCCGAAAGTCAGCCATTAACATAACAAGAGACACCTTTATGGCTCTCATCACTCAGGAAATTTCCAGGGTTTTAGGAGCTCTGCCAGAAAAGAGGGACAAAGACCAAATATATATTTCTAATTATAAATCCCACTCTAACAAGTGTCTCTTTATACATGATTGCCCTTTTTAGATGTTGTTATTTAAGAACTCCAATAGGATGTATAAAACATCTACTGGAAATCTATTTGAGAAAAGTTCTTTCAAGTATCTAAATAATTCAGTTTGGATGAAGGTGAAGAGTCCTCCGTTTGCGACAGCCAACAGAAGAATGCAGACTAAAGCTGAAACAAGAAAAGCAGAACTCCCTTGTTTGACTTTAGCTTGGGGTCAAGCCATGGCAGGCATAGAGGTAGAACAGAGTACGCATTTGGTTAATATTTATTGAATGAAAGAAACCAGTTGGTAGGATTGCGGTTTAAGAATTGCACACTGTTGGCTGATGCCCAAATGCTGGCCGTTGGATTTTTAGATCAAAGGCTGCATTTCAGAACCAACTGGGAAGTCTTTTTTTTCATGGGCACACGCTGAGCCCTCTTAGAACATCCTGGCAGGGTGTCTAGGGTAGTGTAGTTTTCAAAGTTCCTCAGGCGGTTCAGATGTAATCTGACACAACCACTCGGATCGTGTCATCGCCGTGGTCCCCGCCAAAGCTGACATTGTGATATTTTCACCCGAAACGAAAAATAAGTCACCTTTAGTCAAACGCCCGATTGTGCCATAAGGCCAGGAAACTGATTCCCACTCTTAAAACTGACATTATTATTTGAATTAAAAAAACAAACAAACCAGCAGGTCATTGTTCCCTCAAGTGTGTCCTGTGAAACCCAAGTGCTGTGAGATGCTTGAAGAAAGCGTTCTGTGGGCAGACTGGCTTCTGTGTCGTCTGCTGCCCCCTCCCCTCAAATGAGCATTTCCAGCACACACTGCCAGGGTGAGTGTGTCCTGCCATAATAAGGCCCATTTAACCCAGTGGTTCCCAAATACACAGACCCTGGAAACTTTTCATTCATGTGATGTGGTAACATCCTGTGAAGCACAGTAGCTGATACCCAGCCCTGATGCTGGCCAGGCAATCAGAACTAAACTGGAGTATTAACCTTAGGATCATACCAGTAACTGTTTTATTATAGTATGTAAGAAAACTATGCATTTCGCTCAACAAAATATGCAGACCTTAGTTTTGGGGATGCAAATTATTAAAACTGTTAAAAATATCAGCTAGAATTATATAATCTGTTCATGATAATTAGGCTGGGTGAGTGGAAACGACTCAGGAGTGAAATCCTGTTCGTGGTTATGACATTCAACAGCTTCCAAAGGAAGCAGCGAGTGGAACTTCGGTTGCTGCTTTTGGGAAGCAGCCCTATACGGCTCCTACAAAACCCTGGGGGGTACCCCACACTGTCCTATCACAGCCCCGAAAGGGAGACTCTCAGAAATAATCCTCACTTAGGTGACTAAGAAACTCCCAGTGCTTTTAGCCTAGGGAATACTGGGAGACAAATCTCTAAGGTCAGAAATTATTAACTGTCACCCTGCAACTGCAAGTGGCCATGTTCCCCGGGGCAGAATGACCTGTTACAGATGGAAGGTGAGAGGGGAAATGATAGGGAGGGGACCTGAGTTAGAGTCACAAGGTCCAATGAAGCCTGTGGCCATGGCCACCCTTGTTCAAGTTCTATGAGCCAATTTTTTTTTTTTTTTTGCTTAAGGGAGTTTGAGTTGTGCTTCTAACACCATAAGGAGGAAAGTCATGACTAATATATCCTTCCACCTACATGAAGGCCATCCCATTGCCAAAGACACATGTGCTGATTTGCTGCATTAAAAACGTTCCTCAGTTAACTCACTGTGCACACCAAGGAATGCTTGATCCCCCAGGAGGGATCAGGCACCAGTGCATTCAGGAAAACTGTAAGAACCAAGGAGATGGGAATCCCATAGAGGGAAGGAGGGGCTGAGGCCAGCAAGAGTAGCACACTTCTTATCTGGGGAGTAAGCAGACCTCTCAAGTACCTTCTTGAGAAACCAGGTAAAAGAGGTTTATTTGTTCAGCCTTACTTGGGGCAAGGATGTGACACTGGCGGAGACAGTGTATTCATGAACAGGATAGAAGGTGTGTTTGGTGGTAAAGGAGGAGAGTCCAGAAGTGAAGAAATCCCACTCCAGAAGTCATAGCCACAAGGATCTGTTTCCCCATAAGCACTGAATGGGGGGAGCCAGCCTGCTCCCATGCTGAGTAATGGAGGGCTAAGGGGTGGAGGTCTTTGCCGCCCTAGAGTTTTTATGCTAGGACTGAGCTTAATCTGAGGGCCACATGCTTTTTTTTTTTTTTTTTGGAAAACAGGGTTGTTTGTAACTTTTATTCAGGAATATAAGTCTGAGATTTGCTCTGCTCTAAATATCCCCGAACTATAGCCACACACAGAGTAGAATTTAATACCAAAGTCAAAACGTTTTCCTTGAAAATAGATTTAATCTTATTCAAATTAGAAATGTTCTGTATCTCTCTCCAAAATCACTTCCAAAGTTCTGATACGTGAAACATTTTCTGGGGAAAACTTTTGAAGACTGTAAAAGAAACCTTCGTATTTCTTTAGTGTTGATCTAAAAAAAGGTACATAATCAAAAAATTTCCACGTCTGACCCGTCCACGAGGTGTCCGGATCATTCACTCTGAAGGAAAACGCGGGGCGGGGGGATCACAATCACCAACGCGATTTGAAGTGAGAACCAGTTCCCCTCTACTCTGTCCAGTTAACACCGGTACAGGATGCAGAGGCCAATGGCTCTCAAGCGAAAGGTTTCATTGCTCAGAAAGTAACAGAGCGGAGCCCCAAAACGGGCAGGGGACGTACTCGTGTTCAGCCGAACGTCAACAGGCTAAGGGTGAAAAATCAACATTCTGTGATCAGTAACCTTACGGAGGGCTCAACTCGCTCTTTCTGGCATTACTGACAACCCCACCATTCTAAGCTTCCAAGTGCTAGAAAAAGATAAAAAGATGAACAGAAATAGAGAACACAGAAACGGCTGATTCTGTGCGCGGATGAAGGCAACCGTGTCGCAGACCACCCTGGGACGGCAGCGCCCTCGTGCGGCCGGGCGGGGCGGGGCGGCGTTGGCTTGGGACACGCCGGCGGGGGGCGCTGCGCTCCTTCCGGCTGCGGCGGAAGTGCCGGTCGCCGACGAAAGCAGGGCCTACTTGGCCATCTTGCGGATCATGTAGTTGAGGATGCCCCCGTTGTGGAAATATGTGAGCTCCACGTCGGTGTCAAACCTCATGACGGCCTGGAAGGTCTTGCCGGTGTCCAGCTGCAAGGACAGAGCAGCAGAGAGGAGTGGCTGGGGTGGACGCCAGCCCGCCCGCCCGCCCTGTCGGGAGGGAGGCCATCCTGCCCCGCCTGCCCTCAAGGTGCGTCCACGCGCCCGGAACAGGCGCACGCTGCCCCGGCCTGGACCCACCGAGCCGTAAGTTGCATTTTAACACGTCCTAGCGGACTTATCTTTACCGTAAAGCGCTGCAGAGCATGAATGATATAAGTGAGAGACACCTGAGAATTAGAACTAGCCTCTCAGGGCGGCAGCCGCTGGTGACGTTTGGGATGCTATTTTCTAAAGCTTTCCCGAGGGCTGCCGGAGGATTTGTGTCCGCAGTCAGCAGAGGTGTCACAGGTGTCACTAACAGGTGTCACATACACTACGTTGTGAAGGCTGGTAGGAAAGTGCTAGGAGAACTCCTAAGTCTAATGCATTTCTATTGAAAGATTTTTTTCCTTTCCAAATCCCACTGATTTTCTTCTAACAAGATTGATGACAAACACAGGGATGCTTTATAAGCTGGGCTCGACATGGAAATGTGCCAACTTACCTTGACCTGGACTTTCATTCGTGGTTTGAGGGTTTCTGGAATGCTGATAGTGTATCGTTCCTGCCCCGTGAGTCCCAGGGCGTCTGCATTCTCCCCAGGGAGATATTCGAGGGGGATCACCCCCATCCCGACCAAGTTACTTCGGTGAATGCGCTCGTAACTCTCAGCCAGGACAGCTTTGATTCCCTGATGAGCCAAAAGAGTAGCTTGGACACAGTTTTTCTTTAGGTATACAATCACTTTACAAAAGGCTGAAGTTAAACTCTTCTCACACTTAAATTCTGTTAAGTACCAGTTAATCATTTACATTAAATGTTACCCTCTAGTTATAAATAACACAGTAGCTGGGCTTTACTGATTGACTACAAGGTACAGGCAGCATGTAGGCACTGAAACGAATTCTCTCCTTCACCCTCCACCAACCCTGCAGGTACACGCCATTATTGTCCTCCTTTACCCCCGTGGTCAGCGATCTATCCCGTATTTGAACCCATGCAGTCTAACCACACACTTAGCCACTTTGTGGTCCAACATTTCTTAGCAAACTCCCATGTATCTGGAAACTACACCACAAAGCAACATAAATAAAATTCATTTTTTCCCCTTGAATTTTGCTATTATTGTAGCTGCACCAGCAGACACAGAAGATTTAATCAAGACCATTTCAGAAGACACTGCAGAGAAGGTTGATACCTACTGTATGCTGCTGTTACACTTCCTGTTTCAAGGATCAAATTGCATTGAATATAATCTTGATATAAAGCTTCCTGTTAAGTACACTTTATTGGTAATCTGTAACTGGCAATATACAGCAATGATCAATCAATAAACCAGGATACTCTATTAACTAGAACACCTCATCCTCAAGTATTTGTTAACTGTAATGTAGTATTAAGATACCCCTAAGAGGTCTCTTTAATATCTAGGGTAACTTTTAAGATCCCCTGAATCAGGGTCACTTAGGAAGCTTGTTAAAAATGTAGATTCTTGGGTACTACCCCAGATCCACTGTGTCAGAATCTCTCGCAGGGATCATGGGTGGGAGAACGATAGTGAGTCTTGTGAGTTATGAGAAGCTATAGAGCTTCTCAAACTGCTGGACATTAAAATCACTAGGGGGAGGCTTTTAAAATCCAGATGTCCACATTTTTCTCCTTACCAACTAAACCAGAATCTTTGGGGATGAGATCCAGCCATAGGTATTTTTTAAAACTCCAAAGTGTTTCCAAATTTTAGAACATATTTATAGAGGAAGGGCAGATTCTTTAGGACAGTAGATATTTTACATGGATTTACGTAAATATATATTGTGTATTTATTTTGGGGGGATGCGGCGATCTTGGTAAACATATTCTTCACGTCGCGAGCTCTGTGTAGAGGGCTGTGCGGCGCTGCAGATCACAGCCGTCCATCCTGCTCTGCGTGAGGACAGCCCGGGATTGCTGAGTGGCTGGGGCTGGGTGGCTGCACAGTGCAGTGTACACGGCTGTCTGGACAGACAGCGCTTCTCTAGAGACATCTAGACCTGTGTGGTCAGGCCACTCAAGGCTGTTCTCCTGCTCTTTGTACATCCCCTGCTCCACCAGTCCCTTCTTCCTCGACACCTGGCCCACATGCACGTGCTTGCCGCTGCCCCTTAGGCCAGAGAGGCTCCACCTGCTTGTTTTTTAAAGGGAAACATCTGCTGTCGTGATGGTTATTAACATGAGGGGCTGGGCAGACGTGCCCAGGCCTCCCTGGTAGCTGATAAGCCAACTTGATGTCATTTATTGGTAGCCTTCTCCTCCCCCGGTAGCGAAGACTGCTGCTGCGTCCTGCCTGCCCTTTGCCGCACAAGGTGGGGTGTCACTCCAGGACCTTGCTTCAGATGTGGAAGATTCCCCCTCTAGTAAACCACTGGTGACTGTCGCTGTACCTGGGCCCTTTCTTTGGTCTCCTGGCAGACACGTACAGGATGTGCAGCCCAGCCAGACTCGAGAAAGCCCTGGGCGCCAGGTCTCTTCTTACCCCCCAGGTCTCACCATCCCCACCGATGGCCCCGCTCTCATGGCTACTATCAGCACCCAGCTCCCTTCTAAATTCCTTCCTTCCTTCCTTCCTTCCTTCCTTCCTTCCTTCC